TGGCTCAAATATAGATTAAAGACACCCAATATTTGCTGATCTAATCTAGTATTCTCTGTTAGTCTAGAAATAATTATTTTTTTATTTTTTTTTTATTAGTCTTTCTAAAATCATGTTTTCTTTATCTTTCACTTTCTTTCCATTAAAAATATAATAAAATTAATTATAATTAAAATGCAATTTGAATATCTGAATATAATTCATATATTGTAAGGTGAGAACTATCTCTAATATTACTGTACTTGCTCAGTTCTTTCATAAACCCAACTGAACTGCAATTGCTTTGCGTAACTATTTTGTGCAACTGCGAGAAATTCTTCAGGCTTTCATGAGAGGCGTACAAAGTGTAATGAAAATCGAATAGTTCTCATTATTGCAAGCCACAAGGCGCACATGCGTCACAACTGGGGCATTCAACATATTTGCTGCTCGGTTAGTTCGGCTTGAGAGCGCCTGTTGAGGGACCGCAAAGCCCGTTGCTGCGCTCGCTGAGCCCAAGTGCCGTGCATTCATATATTTTTAAATATGCCAAAACATTTGCCCCACACACACACTCGCACACACACACGCACATTTCTTGCTCTAGAATTTGGAGAATTGTAGATCTGACAAAATGGCAAAAGTTTGCGACAAATTATAATGGCGGCCGCTGTGCGAGGAGGAAATATATTTGAATTTAATTTTGAGGCGTCTATATAGGGGCGCAACGGAGGCAGCTGCGCAATGGCGACAACAGCTGTTGAGCTACTTTAACAGTCTGCTAGCTCATTAAGTTTTCCTGCACACACACATACACACACACACTCACACACATATAAGCGCGTGAGTGTCGTGCAATATAATGCGGCATACAAATAAATTTGTCACAGCAAAATTTTGCAACTTTGTGTAATCCGCTGGGAATGCGTTGCTGGGCGTGGTGTGCCGCCCCTTTTTGGCCACCAGAGAGGCAACCGCACAGAATCTAGAAATCAACGAGTTTATCTCATTAAAAAGTTATTTTCCGCAGCAGCTGCACACACACACACACACACACGCGCACACACACACACGCGCGCACGCAGTCTTAGCTTACACATGCCAAGACACACAGAAGGCGAGAGCGAGAGAGTGTGTGAAGGGGAACTTGTGTACTTAAAAGTGAAGGCAGGCAACGAAATATGTAAATCCACTTCATTTAATTTCGCATTTAGCCAAAATGCTAACAGCAAATGACAAATATTCTTGTTAAGAGGCATAAATGCAGCACAGCAATAGACACAGCTGGCAGACAAGACTTTCGGCCAGGCCTGGGTTGGGCTGGTCTTGGCGTCCGGCCAAGTCAGAGTCTGGGCCGAGTCAGCCCACTTTCTTGGCTGTGCCCCGTTTGCTGTTAGTGCAGCTCGACATACTTTTTGCGGCAAGTATTTTACAACAACGTCGCTTTGCCGCCAAAAAGACAAAGTACATTTCCGCTGCCAGTTTCCGGTTTCCGGCATTGTTTTGATGCCGTCGTTGTGCTCCGGCTGGCCGACCGGCTGCCTGCCGGCAACATCAACTCGCGCATTCTACACACAAATCGAATTGTAGCATCAACGCTCACGAAATTAATATTGTTAAGTGCAACTCCGCAGCGGCAGCGGCTGTGGCAAGTCAAACAAACAATCTGCCTCGCATGCCACACGTAAATGAAGTTGAAGCGCTGTCAGACCGCTGCCACAAAGCATTATGACCACTTAACCATGCCTCTAGCCCTTGATCTACAGTCTCCTGGCCCCCCCCAAGCCTCTGCGATTATGCTGCCACTGATGTTGTACGGCTCAGCCGGTCCCGGATTTGTGTGTCGACCAGGGCTGCGAGCCAATTTAATCGCACAGTTGACTTACGGCTCATAGAAGGGAGTTTCCTGAATGAAGTTTACGAAGTTTGTTGCAAACAAATTTACTAGAAATATGCGATTCAAGTTTCTGGACGCAAGTGTGTGTGTGTGTGTGTTGCATATGTGAAGCTAATATTCATTATTTGGCTCTTAACTATTTCAATAAGTGATGCTAGACAGCTTCGTCAGAATTCGGGAAACTTACTTTAATAATATGTATATCTATATACCTTTTGTACGGCGTTTATGAATATTATATACACTTTGTAAATCCATCAAACCTATATATTATTCAGTTTATATCATCTATGATGGAATTTGCCTAACTCTACTCTTAGTTCTGAGCAACAAATTGGAGTACTTCAATTCAGCCTGAACTGAACCAGTTCATATTGGAGTACTTCAAATCGAACTGGTTCAGTTCAGGCTAGTTAGTTAAGCGAGTGCTACTGCTACAGCTACTGCTACTGTTACCTGGCCAGACTTTGAGCTGGCACCTCGCCGTGTTCAGCACCTCGCGTCCTTCTGCTCGTGCATCTATTGTTGTTTGACTGTTTCTGAATGCTTCAGCATTTTGGTCAATATTTGTGCAGCGCTTTGGCGTGTCCGCCAGTCGCAGGGACCCAGAGTGCTTGGCTGGCTTCGGTGCTCGGCCTTCGACTGGGGGCTTTGCATATGCAGATGTTTTAGCATGAAATGCTTTTAGCCAGCTTTTCTCTTCTGCCTTTTACCCGATTTCAAGGGTTTTCTCTACATGTGTGTGTGTGTATGGGTTAACAACATAAAAACGTGCTTACACCTCATATACACACACACTCACACACACGCACGCAACTAGATTTTAGTTTTTCTATCGTTCATTGGATTCACCTGCAGCTCAGAGCACGCTTCACTTGCTTTTGCTATATATTTCGTGGCAGCTCCTCCCTCCCTCTCTCTCTCTCTCTCTCTCTCTCTCTCGCTTCGATTTTGTTACAGATTAGCATGTCGACCTCAAACTGGCCTTGCCTATAATCCATAAGCCTTGGCACTCAACTGTATTGCAAATTTACTTTCAATTTGATCCATGCAGAGCATTCATTTTATTTAATGGATAAAACTTGTCGAATTTGAATGCACTTTTCATTTTGCCATATCAATTTGTGATTGTTCTTGAATTCCTTGTTGTTGTTGTTGTTGCTCTTGCGGTTGCTTGTGGTTGTATAGCTGGTACTTGCGGCTTCTCAGCCTAAAAGCATTTGAGCGGCTTCGATTGCATTCATTTGATTAATAAACTCATTTGGAAAGCGAATTACTAATGGAAAACGTTTACAAAAACAACGAGAA